TTTATTGTCTCTATTTATCAATCAAAATACGTTTCGGTGTATTTTTCCACCATCATCAGTTTTTATGTGTAGCGTTGTTGCTGCTTTAAGCCTTGCCATGCATTTGGAGTAAAAAATACTGAGTATTTTATTCGTTTTGTGTCCGATAATGGACAAAATTAATACTCCAAATGCATGCCAAGGCTTAAAGCAGCAACAACGCTACACATAAAAACTGATGATGGTGGAAAATACACCGAAACGTATTTTGATTGATAAATAGAGACAATAAATGACTGAAACCCAGGAATTAATTTGATTTGAAATTGAAACAAAGTATATACAATTCAGCATTATATAGGGTGTGACTCAAACGTTAGGTATAGGGTGTGTCTATATTAGCTGTTTTGACTATTTGCATGTATCACTGGCGTAGATAACGTTTAGTAATTTTTTTCCCCGCGAAAGAACGTTTCTGTCTCACTTACCGCTCAAAATCTAGGCCAATGACTACATTAGTATTTTCAACTAGCTAAAAACAAACCCGCGACACTGTTTTTTCGCAATAGCACGATTGAAAAATCATTTTTAAATGTAAAACACACCACATTCACACCACCCTGCATATTAATTTGTAATTAATTATTATAAAAGAATAATATATATTTCATATTAAAAATACTATACTTTCATTCTTTTAACTATTTACGAGCACAAACTACAAAAGCAACATATTTGATATAAAACAGGGAAAGCACCTGGTAAAGGCATTTTGGTTGACTAATAGGTCAGTTTGTAAAAAAACTATCTTTTTATATAAAAAACTGACCTTGGTGTGCAAAACACACACAATATTTCTATTTGTGTTTAAGCAACTTCGTGTTTGAATTATAAAAAATAAACCACTCTTGTTCGACAAGAGTTCGTCAAATATGTAATACTGACTATAAAAATCCAGCTAACTCTGTGCAAAATGTTTCGTCCAATTTTAAATTTGCGGCTGTATTAAAGGGTTTCTTAACTGCTCTTCGGCAGGGCAAGTTCCAACGGCCACAGATGCACAAGTTTAAAATTAGACGAAAACTATAGATCAGGAGCTGGTTCTAAAATTGTACGAGGTCTTGCTGTAGCAAGGCTTGTCATTTTCGATATAGTTGGACAAATCACCTGGAATTTTCGACCGTTTCGACAAAGAGGGATGGCAGTATTTGTAGTAAATGATCAAAAAGGCAATGGCCAATATGAAGCTGACCACTTGACTTCCCGCCGCTCCATAGTAGAGGAAAGGATTGTTCGATGAGTTGTTGGTAACGCACCTAAAAAATCAAAGTGCAAAATTCATTTATTCAACATAAACAATCATGGATGATGATTCACTAATTGAGGCAACGTTGAACATTTTATATTTTCCGACAGATTATCAGCTAATCCATTTTTATCTTAACGCTCCCAGTTATGTTGAGTTGTTTAAAGTAACCGCCGCGTAGTTAAGCCTTTCAATTCAGCAAAATCATACAATAGTGGCCTAAAAATCTCCTTTAAGCCTTAGATTAATGAATGTTAAGCCTGGAAGCGAAATGGCATCAACAGTACCTACTAGATGACATCATCGGACAGGCATTTAGAAGACGCAAAAAATATTGACGTCAATAGAATTGGGCTCTCGTAGCCATTGCTTAAAACTGTCGAGTTTTTCCTGGCTAAATTCCTTTGATTATTTGCTGACATTCTTTCCACAACGGCCAAAAACTGCCAGTTTCAAAAACCGATTTCTTAGAACTCACCAAACGACTAAGGCCCCAGTGTTTTCCATGAAACAAACCAGATAATAGACCAAATAGACGTATCTGGTCGGTCCGTCTCTGGGCGAAATAAAAGCCAATACGTAGGCAAGGCCCAAGGCGACCGAAAGCAGCAATTCCTCACAGCGGCTGCTGCACGAGGCTGTTTGGTGGTGCCCGATCGCTAACCAAACAGACATAACTCCCCAATGAAGGGCGCAAATCACCCCCATCCATGTAGGCAAGATCGCAGCTAGCAGACTAAGAGCTAAAATCCTAGACACTGAAAAAACACATATGGATTTTAGAGTTACTTTGACTAATAACTGAGCTTCTATTTAAGTACAGCCAGTACAGCGTCCCTATTCGGTCTGCATTTTACCAAAAATACTTACAAGCACTCATGAGTTGCCAGCAAAAGGCTACAAGCAGCCCAATCCATTTGATCTTGTCTTTATCGTCCCTGGCAAATCGCACTGATCTGTGATACGACGTTAGGGACCAGGCAATCGAGGTGACCGATGTGAAAACTGTCCATGCTTGAATTATCGATAGATCTGCAATTGTTTAAATCAAAGTGTGATTAGCTGAGCCTTTTCGCGATCGAGCTGTTCCTCACCTAAATTAATAGACGATTTCGTTTGCGGATTCATAACAAAACTCAACAGGAACACCAATTGCATAACAGCCTGCGGCGCACAGTGCAGAAAACAGTGGAAGAGCCTTAATAGCGAACTGTTGGCATCTTCATCCAGCATGCGTCTGAAGCAATACGAAACGATATCAAATTAAACTCTATAGTTTCATTTGCATTTATCATGTAGGGATAAAGTGAATTTCCAGACTATTTGGCGGCACTCCAGTTATTGATTTTTTGGAGTTTTCAATCGCTATTATCCAAATCAAAGTAAACCTGTAATATGTAAATCAACCATCCAATCAGCACATGACCAACAAAAACCTAACTAGATATCCTTGACAAAACAAACACGATTTTCAAATGCATATAAAAAATCAGCTTAGTTGAATTGTTACTTGGCTCTAAGAGAAACTATTGAATTTTTTACGTAAACCAGGTTAATTTCGTTGAGAAAAAAGGCTGTACTTAACATGATCTAACAATCCGTTCTTGATTCGGTGTTGTATCAGAAACAAGGTCGCTTCAGGAGTAGCGATGTTAATTATAAGTATGACAAAGCAAGTCTTGGATGTGCAAAAACCAAACAAATGTGTTTTATTCAAAGGCGTGTAATGCAAATTATCTGCAAGTAATTTCACTGACAAGTCAATATTCCCCGTTAACAGGCAAAATAATTTGTTAGTACTTAATTGAATCGATTCTTAAGATTAAAGCAATCAGTTTTTGAAATATGAACCCCAATTCATGGCGATGAAGCATTAATTAAGTGCTCAAAGTTGATGGATTATTGAGCGAAATTGATGCCATGAAAACCGCTTTGGATTTCATTATCATGCAAACAGGGTTTAGGAATAATTGGTGATTGGCAATTTGGAATTATTTAATTGAACATTCTAGTGGAATTAAGCGATCATTCAAATTCATTCAAACAAGAGCTAGAATTAAATTCGCAAAAGTAGGATAGATAAACAGGACAGAATGCTCCTATTGTTGAACTAGTGACTCAAGTAGGTACCGAAGCACTTTTAACTTTTGACCGCCTGACAAATTGCCGATAACTGAATCATGTTTTAAAGTAGTTTATCTTTGCGATATCAATTAGAACAATTCAACGCTCTTAAGGCGCAAATACATTATGTGTATTTGATGGCCGTTCGAGATGGGCTGGAAATTGCCACACTTGAATTTACCTGTACAAAATTGTTTGTTGACTGTCGCTTTCGGACTTGCCGGCCACTTTGCTGCGGATTCCATAGATCAACGTTTCCACGTAGCGCAAAAGCGGAGATATTTGCAGCAACAGAAACACTATTCTGATTATCCAATGTCCCAACGACGCCCTGCCCACTGAAGGGTCATCATGGTCGATTATGTACCTGCGAATGAACAAAGCAAAAAACACCGTGAATAATAAAGTTAAATGGTCTTTTCAACAACGCCTAAAATCGGTCATGCCAATAAAGCGCTTGATACTATTTAAAATGTGTCGCCAATAAAAATTCCCATGTTCACTCGAATGTTTCCTTAACCCACACCGCAGGGAATTCGGTTTAATTGAAAAAACCCAAGAGCTTGAAAAATAACCTTCTCCTCAACATTGATATAACAGTGCGAAGGCCAACCAATCGTCACGTAATCTTGGCCAGAAACAAGAAAATTCTGCCGGATGTTTCGTACCAAAACTCTACTGGTTTTACACATACATATCAGTGTGCATTGTTTTTACTTTGGTGCAAATGTGTCTCAACCGGATGCAAGTGTGCTAAATTATTATTCAGCTTTGAATGTAGTTCATTTAACTGGATAGTAACGACACTAACAAATCAATTAAAAAACAATTAAACAAAACAAAATACATCCAAACACACATTTTTAGTCATTTAACGGGCCTAATTCCAGGATAGTTTAAACCAAATTTCCGTATTAATGTTAAGGTGCCTTTCCTTGTGCGTTTTATGTTCATCGCCCCCTTTACTGGGGGCCAAACAAAGTATAATAAAATGAATAAAGAACAATAACGAAGCCCTTGACCACGATTCTTATCAAATACTTAAATCTATGTATGTACATATACTTAATTTGTATTTGTTCGCGAGCTTGATCTACTCAATACACAAATTTTGTGCTCAGAAAGACACGGTGTGAACAAACCTACAAGTTTATAATCACTAAATTAATGGAATTTATCGAAGCTTTGTTGGAAAACTCGAATCCATTATTTAGTCGGTGGAAAATGCAGACAATCAATAAAATTAACCATCCTTGACCGGACTTGTTTTCACAAAACAGAAGTTAATAACCAGACAATGATCCTTTAATAGATTTGGCTCAAGCAATAAACAATAACTAGTAATTAGATTCTGAGAATGTGAAATGCTTCTTTCGTGACTTTGTTACGGTATGAATGGTATATTATTAATAATAATAATATACAATATTGATGCCGTCACAGAATAGAATTTTTCAGAGGTGGTTTTTCGGCGCATTAACCAACCTTTTCAAGTACGTAATTTAAGGCTACAATGCTGGACTTTGCTGAAAATTAACTGTATCTTTATTATTTTACAAACTTCTTGTTGGGTATTTCGCCTCAAAAATTTTTCTGCCTCAATCAATCTGTAATAGAAGACGTGAGGAAATTCTGTCTTTTTTAAAGACAAAAATTTTTGAGGCAAAATACCCAACAAGAAGTTTGTAAAAAAATGAATCCGCCTCAACAATATAGAACTTATCTGTATCTTTATTACTTAGACTATTATGAATTTAGCTTAATTAGTTGGCTAAAGTCACTATTAACGATATAACCCGATAAATATGATTACTCCCGGTAAAACAAAGATTATGCGATTGAAAAACTAAACATTTTTTTGCCTTCCACTTTCACCGTCTATGATCGGTTTTCTATTTGTTTTGTTGATTAAATAAACGTAAGAAAGTTCCAATTTAACGCATATCATGAAATTAGGGATACGTTGGCAACTAAAGCAGTGTTGAGTCGGTAGGTACAAAGCTAAATAAATATGCAAATAATTCAAAATGTTGCATAGGAATGTTAATACAAATAACTGATATCAATTTCACCGACTGGCTATCAAAATAAATTGGAGTGAACAGTTACGTCCATTGTTGCAAACAATTTGCGCTGATTACTATTAGAATTAAATTGACCACAGGCATACAGTCCACAAAGAATGTCACTCAACTGTTCGATTTGCGTCATCGGTTGATGATATCATTCATTATTTTCAGTTATTGCTCTTCGCACGATTAACAACCATTTAAAACTTATGAGGATTTATGAAAACTCAAAGTCGGAATTGGCTTATTCTGCCTTATTGTTGCTAAAGACGCCCAATTTATGACGATGAATTTAGATAAGAACACTAATCCAATACAATTGAAAATGTTTTGGACTGTTAATACGCTCAGTGATCAGAAGATAGCAAAATAACCAGCCTAATCTACATGCTGGCATTCCCATATAAGGAAATACCTATGCGGCCAAGCAGTTTCTTTAACTAATCCGGAACTATTGAGTAATGTTCTAAAGGTGTGCATTATTTAGCAGACTTTGCCTCTATGGGAGTCTTAACTTGGCCCCATTTCGAAAAAATGCATTGTTGCGTTACTGGCCACTTAGAGACCTATTCAAGTTTTAATATTTACATGACCAGCATTTTCATTTTGGAAAGAAAAAGCCAACTTACCACCTTAAGCTGACAGTGCTCATACATATAGCTGGCAACAAGACAAATGTTAGAGTAAGAGCAAAATAGAGAATGTATCCCTGGTTTGAGTAGAAGTAGAGCAACGCGATGACCAAAACTAAATCGGTGATGTACGTTAATATCGACAAACTGATGCAGCACACATAGAAAGTCCCGAAACTGTGATTATTCTCTGAGAGTTTTCCTGGAGACTCTGGCTTGATGGTGTCGATTCTGGCCATAGAAGGCTCCCGAGAAAAATGTACGACTGTGCACGTCTCACTCATTTCGCACTGACATTGATCATTCACTTGCACTATGCAACTATTATTCACTGTTTTCCAATGCTTAAAGGCTGAGGTCTGGGAATTTCCACTGGCTATTTAATTTGGGGGCTCTTTTGCACATCTTCCTAAACGCGGAGCTTCTACTGCACTTATCAAATAATGCACTTCAGCAAATTTATCACAACTTCCTAACAGTATTAAGTACCAATATCACAAGGTTACGACACTAAACTCGATTTAAATGAATTACCCTAACAGACCAGCCATTTCCAAACAGTACACACAAAACACTGACAGGTGGTAAATGAAAAAAACGAAACAATCGCTCAAATCGTACTGACGTTGCCAAGTTGTTTGAAATAACCTGATCCGGAATGTATTGTGGGTTGTCAACTAGGATTTATTATGCTTGTAAAAAACAAAATTTTAAAAGTTGTATCTACTGTTGTCCTTCAAAGCTTGTGAGTGAGGTATTGTCTCTTTTTAACCCGAGTTATCAACCGCTTGCCTCAATTCGTTCCAACTCAAAGCAAATAGCTGATACTCACAACGATGCAATAGACTTTCGAGAAAGTCTGGCAAGATTGGATCACAGAACATACCCCCTGGGGGGATATTTTGTGGATTGGATGGCCCATTAACAGAAAGTGAAATGAAGAAGAATTGAAAAGAAGTAAACCAAACTTTTTGTGGGATAAAGTTGGGTTAAAGCAACATGGCACTTGCAGCCAAAAAATGGAACCCCATTCAGTTGGATGGGGCCCTTTTCAGCAGTGCCTTGGCCGAAGGCCTCGTAGGCATTGAAGAGTGCACTGATTACGACTCGACAAGCCTGATAACTCCTGGAAAGGTACAGAGACATAATTTAATTTCAACGCATGGATTCAACCAAAATTGTAGAAACGAAAGGCCAAAACCGCAAAAACACAGTCATCGAAGAAGCTAAAAGAAGTGAAAACTGAAATAGAATGCATTCCCGCAACCGCACAACCCTCCATGGAAGCGTGGAGCTCATATTCACTGCCTTCTGAACTACTGAGGGCTCTTCAGGAGCAGGGCTTTTCCTATCCGACTGAAATACAGGCGCACACTTTACCAGCTGCACTCTTGGGTAAATAGAAACTGCAACGTTGTGGGTTGGTAGCGGCCAAATTTGCTTTAGGAAGACGAGACATTCTGGGGGCTGCCGAGACAGGCAGTGGAAAAACTTTGGCGTTCGGCCTGCCGATTCTGAGCGGCATAATGAGGCTACGAGAAGCGGGGATTGCAGATGAAGCAGCCGACAGTGAATACAGTGAATCGGAAGACGAAGATATTGGAGTAGATGAACATGGTAAGCTAATTAAAGTATTTTAAAATCAAGGGTAATTATCAGTTGTGTAGGTATGGGGTGTGTTAATGCCTACAAACTGAAAAGTGCTGAAGTCAGAAGACCTTTATATGCGCTCATTTTGACCCCTACAAGAGAGCTCGCCATGCAGGTGAAGAACCATCTAACTAAGGTTGCTAAATATACTGGTAAATGTTTGCTGCTTATAATGATTTCTTCGCATTCTCATTATATGCTTTGGTGAATTGCAGGAATCAACATTGCGGTAGTAGTAGGCGGAATGGCGGCAGTAAAACAGGAAAGGCTGTTGAGAAAAGGGCCCGAAATAGTGGTGGGAACGCCTGGGCGGCTGTGGGAGCTAATTCAGCAAGGAAATGAACATTTATCGCAAATAGATAATATTAAGTGAGTTGATACACCGAAGGTAGTGCGTTATTGATCACCTCGTATGGTTCTTGTAGATTTTTAGCAATCGATGAAACAGATAGAATGCTGGAAAAGGGCCATTTTATGGAACTGCACGATTTGCTGGAGAAGATGAATCTGGACCAGCAAAAGAAGAGCGAGCGACAAAACTTTGTGTTTTCCGCTACACTCACGTTGATCCACGATATTCCCAAGCATTTAGTGCTTAAGAGGAAAATCAAGGGCCGAAAGCTCCACGACATGACTGCAGACCAGAAAGTGCAAAAAATCGTCAACACCCTTGGTATCACCAATCCGAAAATTGTGGATTTATCACAAGGAAAAGGTGATTGATTTTCTGATAACTCATTTAGCAACGATGCCAATTACTACTATCCATTCAGGTACTTCGGGGACTCTGTCGGAATGCAGAATAACATGTGACATTGAAGAAAAGGACTATTACGTGTTCTATTTTTTGAAAAAACATCCTGGAAGAACGTTGATATTTTGCAATTCAATCGGATGCGTGAAACGGCTGACCAATCTGCTGGGCTTATTGAATTGCAGCCCTTTGCCCTTGCATGCCAGTATGCAGCAGAGACAGCGGCTAAAAAACTTGGAGAAGTGAGGAACAGTTATACGGTTCTATTTTTCAATAACGCGTAAAATGCCTGCAGATTTACAGAAACAGAAAACAGCATCTTAATAGCGACGGATGTGGCAGCCAGAGGCTTAGACATCCCGGAAATCGACCACGTTTTACATTATCAAACACCTAGAACCAGTGAAAGCTACGTACACAGATCTGGCCGCACCGCCCGCGCTTCCGTTCAGGGATTAACGATACTTTTGATGGAACCGAGCGAGTTCACCAACTACATGAAGATGTGCAAAACCTTAGGAAAGGGTAAAAATGCCTAGTCCAACCCAGTTGCAAGTGGTAACGAGTTTTTTTAGATAACTTGCCGCCGTTCCCGGTTCAAGACAAATATCTGTCTGCAGTGAAAGAGCGAGTAAACCTGGCCAGACAATTGGACAAACTTCAGCTGCAGGTGCGCAAATTCAATGCGGAAGAGGGTTGGCTGCAGAAGGCCGCCAGAGAGATGGACATCGTAGTAGATGGACTGTATCCTTTTTATGCCACTTGATTCTCACATGATCTCGCAATTGACCAACTTCCTTATAGCACTAACAGATCGAAAGAGTCGAAAGGGGACGAAATGCGCGCTTGCAAAGCATTGCGAAAGCAACTGGATGCTCTGTTAGGACGACCGATCTTTCCAGCTGGATTGGATGGGAAAGTCCAAGAAAGTGCCATCGAGATTTTGACTTCCTCTAAGCCCACATTCAAGCGTTTTAAGAAAAGGAAAATAGAACACGAGAAATAAAGAAACTTTTATATAAATAACGATATGTGCCTTTTTTTCGAGTTTTTGCAGAAAGCCGCGTGAACTACAAATACTTGAAAAATTGCAATTCGCAGATGTTTGTGCTTGAAAACTTGAGCCATTGAACTGGTGCCTTGAACGTGATGTCAGTATAATCCAAGTTACGATTACGTTGAGATTAATCGGCCTCAAATAAGTCGCCTAAACGCATGTTTCTACCTATAAATAACCATGTGTGTAGCAGTCGCGCGACTTCTGAATTTAGCGAGACACACCTCCAACTGATATTTTCGGCACAACTAAACTAAACTTTTATAGTGTTGAACGTCGAAGCCAGAATCAGATATTGAAAAGAACTGGTTTACCTCCCGAACTAAGTCAGTTTGCGAACTGCAATTAGCTCCATAAAATTGGAATTTTCGATGACAAACTCAAGGTTCCTAAATCATGTAGCCATTAATCTGAGGTTCCCCAGGTTGGCTTCCCAACAAAAATTAGAAATAGAAATTTAAGTTGATCAGATAGAAGAGCGCGCAGGCGTTTGGACCGATAATTGTAGTTTATTCTGTAGAATATGCACGTTCAGCAGTTTCGGTTCCGACCTACGTACGCGAGCGTCCCTCGAGCCTGATCGACAGAATCGATACGAGAAATTACGTTTTACCGACTTGAATGAAAAGTGGTTTTTCCGGTACAATTTTCACATCGTCGTTACTGTAGCAGCCCAGATTGACCTCATCGGTTTGACTCACTTGCCATTAGGTAGGTTACTTGCTTAAGGAAAATGCTGCTCTTTTGCTGTTTTCAATCAAATTCAAAAGCCGAAAAATCTTTAGTCACGATGACCTTATTGCCAAAACATGCAGGAATAGAGAACATTAATTTAATACACTTTATTACTATGTTAATGAGGTTAATTGAAAATTCTGAACCCGATTTTAGCAGCCTCTGTACATATGTGTTTTTTTATGCTAAAAGGGTAGCGTTAGATGAATTTAGAGACCCCTGAATCAAGTCAATTGCCGAAGCAAATTTTCGATTCTATAGCGTGTTGTATGAGAGTTTTCTTCCACTTACTTTAAAATGCCCTACTTGGGAAATATGAGAAACTTCTCTTTTTAAATTTTGCCACCCTGTGAGCTTAAGGTTTTTGGGTGTTTATTAAAAAAAGCGCCTCAATTTAAGCAAGAGACTGCATGGTCGAAGCTCCAAAAGTCACAACCGTGTGAAAAAAACGGTTTATATATGAAATTAACAAAGAAAACAAGTTTCCTGGTCAAATATCGAGCGGAAAAAATGTTCTTGACATCACAAATATACCGGTCATTGTTGGAAAGATGAATAACGAGCCAGTTTGTGGCCTCTGCATTTCAAAATTGAATATAATAAATCCAAGCATAATTTATTGGCTCGAATTTGCATACTTAAAAGCTGTTCAAGTACGAACCCATTCGAAATCGTGGCGAAGATCGTGTGGCCGGAGGACATGGGTGTGTTTGCATGGGTTTTGCAAAATTTTCAACCACTTTTACCAGTAAATTTGAAAAAAACAAACGAAATCTCACTGGGAAGTAGACCAGATTTTTCCTGAATTCATCAGGAAGTAACCTTCGGAGGTTTATTGACTCCAATCGATTCAAGAACATATCGGTTTGAACTTCCGACTGTGAATTTTTATGGAAAAAACATGAATTTCAAATTTTTTTTTCTCTTTTTAATCTGAAAGATTAATTATGGAAGTAAATCGGGCAATTTTCGAGACGGTTTTGTTGTGGTTTTTGCAGGCAATGGTTTAACAGTTTTTCCTCTGTAACTGGCGAAGTGAAAAAGCCAATTTTGGATGCATTTTGTAGCGCAAAGCCCCTTCTATAAGTGGGCAAAGTTGCGATTTTTAACCATAATCAGGCGATTTTCTATTTGAAAAAATAATCAAAATCTGCTGCGAAAAAACTTATTCGGTTATGAAATATTTATAGAATGTATTAAATATCACGTAAAGTGTCTCAAGAGGGTTGAAAAACATTTCCCTTGTTGTAGTTCATAGAACCAACTCCCATTCATTTTCCATATAAAATCAATATGTTTATACAGGCTCACCTTGTATAAAAGCAAAATTTATCATCATTTGCGTAACTTAAACATTCCCAACAATCCGCTCGATTTGTCCACCTTTCTAACTGGTTTAAATCGGTTTAGGCAGTATGCTAAAGCAGTTTTCTAAATATACCAGTAGGTTTTTCCCAAAAAACACTATATTAAACTGCATCTAGCACTCTAGATTTAGTGCTGACTAAGCAATCACCTTAATGTTGCGTGCCAATCAATATTAGTAATTAGACTATCACCGTTTCCTGCAATTATCGTTACACAATACAATGCAATGAGCTTGTAATAGCACACACTCTTATTTTATTGCGCTGTATAAATGCACAAAAATCCCGACATGAAAAAGGCATGAAAACCGGCGATTTTTGCCTTCCAGATATTGATATTCACATGGTATTTGGGCTTGTTCTACAATTTTTCGAATAAAAAGGAATTTTATAACAATGTCCACCAAAACTGGCCTTCAATAGTTGAAGGTCGGCTCCGTATGGATTTTGTCATTAGCTTTTTCTATACAATTTATAAATTGATTTCTGATGTCTCACTCTGCATTATTTGTTTCCTGCAAATACAATCAATTTTATGTAAGGGGGTTTTTCTACGTCTTTGGCTTTGAATGCTTGAAGGTCGTCAATTATTGGGATATTGAAGACATTTTTCGCTTTATGGATGATTAATGACGAACTACAAGCTTGATTAGCAAGGATTAAACCCGGTTTCTAGCAAAATCGCACAATGAGGCATAGATTTGAATTAATTTTACTACCTAAATGAATTTTCTGGGAAACGTGACTTGCAAATCAGGGAAACAAAGGTAAATTCAACATTTTCGTAGAGCAATCACTTTCACGCATGAATTTGTTGATATTTTCAAGGCATGCGAGCATAAAAATAAAAATTGGATGTAGGTAAATATTATTGTCTTTCTAGTCGGACTAGGTTGTTTTCAAACACGCTAGACCTTGCAGGCTGATTTTAGCTTGTTTTCATTTGCCAGCCATTAGTCAACCACAAAAGCACCAATCCGATTCTATGGAAGCTTTAATAATATCTATATTTTTACGTGCCGCACTCAACATAATCTGTTGCATAAGCGAGTCCTAATCTGAGAACTTAGTTTACTGGAAACATACCTATGCACATGCAATTGAATGTTCCTGCTGGCAATTTTCGCAACTGCTTTCATTTAATGTATCTGCTGATTACATGCGAGAAAACACTGTGGAGTTAATTTTTTCAACCAGCCAAATTATTAGAAGTAATTAAAATTAACTGTGGTCATAAAAGATGGAAGTTTTGCATTATTAATTGAAGTGAAACCCGCTTGCTGAAACGCTTCCAGCATTAAAACTGGCCGCTGCCAGCTTTAGGTTTTTCTGTGTAGAAAGAACAACAATAAATTGTATTATCAGCGACATTAATGTAACGGCTTATCAGTTATGTGTTGCCAGGAAGGTACAAGGTAATTAATAAACGCATATGCACTCGAGTTGATCTTTAAATTGGGAGAAAAGCTATTCGCATGTACTATTGGAGTTTCACTCCAACACCAAGACAGTTTATCTAATTAACTGTTAAGTTTGCGCCTTTTATCTCAAGCAAACTGTTTGCTTTACTTTAATGGAATCCCTTTTACCAGTGGAATATTTGCGAGTTCACAGGTCAATAAATACGATTATAAGATGCGCTGATAAAACATTATTTACATGTGAATGAACGCTATCAGTAGCACCACTCTGACAAACATGTTTTAGAGAGTCGAAATAATTCTCGAACAGGGAAACAAATCGAAACTGTAAATGAGCCAAAGCAAGACTAAATTGTCGTTGGCAAAAATGCCTGCAAATGTGGTATTATTACGTATTATGCTGTAGCTATATGGATTATCTTTGTCGACCTGGCAATTACTTAATTAGTTTCGTAATAACTTACTTAATTTCATCTGGAAAATGCACCGAATGAATCTTCAGACGAGCGATGCGCATCAAGCAACCAATTAACTTTCGCAGATTGTTTGTCTGGATTGAAAATAGAGCCAAGGCCGGAAGAATTTTCAAAATAACTACGCTGCAACATTCAAAGTGTGAACTGTTTTGATTGCTTGTGTCAGTCGTAACAAGTCAAAATTAGAATGTCATGATGACTATCTTGTCAGCAACAGTTGTTTTTGCATGATGGTTTAACATCACGTTCTTATCTGAACAGTTATTTCGTAGCTTTTTGGATTGCAAATAATTGATTCAAACCGGTTCAGAAACTTTCTCGTTTTAGGATGTTTTCCTTTTACGAAAAACGCAACGGTTGGTTGATTTGAAAATTTCTGACAGTTTAATGGAATTCCGATTTTTCCCAATTTTCTACGTCATGATTCAAAAATGGATGTTGTCCAAGTCGGTTCTTGATCACTTTTCGCCCAACTGAATTTTACTTTCTTATAAAAACTAGGTGGGTACTTAATGCAGTATTAATTGATATTCGGGATTAATTGAACTTACTCCCGCATTTGCATATGTCACAGTCAACAATGGCATAATTGACGTCAACGTCCGATTATGCAACTGGCAATGACATTTCTAAAAAAATGCTTTTTGAGAAAAACGCTCCTTTAGCCTCCTCCTCTTTAGTCGTTACAAGTGTTTTGCTTCCTCCAAAGTAGGTGAGTCTGGAGCTTAGTTAATGTCGAATAGTTTAAAGCCCGTGTCCCATGCATCCGTTTATACGATGGTACAAAAGTGTTTCTATTGGTTGGAGATCTGTCAATCCGTCCACGTCGTGCGACGACGGACGAATTGACAGATCTCCAACCAATAGAAACACTTTCGTACCATCGTATAAACGGATGCATGGGACACAGGCTTTAGGCTTTATTCATTTAAGGCCCTGATTAGTCCAGATAGTTTAAAGTGGTTAAATGTGAAGTCCAATTAACGGAAGTTTACGTAAAACCACGAAACGGAGTAGATTAAATTACCATTTTCCGCCGCCTTGTCCAATAGCAAAATTACGCATCAATACATGCGTTTCGTGAGTGATAAGCGCACTTTGAAAAACCCGTCGACTAATATTTTCGCACTTGTAAATACATAATCATTTACATCATAATGTTCCCGGATAGACGTCATTGAGTTCTGGTAGGTTCTTGAGATCAATTGATTACATATACTAAAACGCGATAATAAAACTGTGTCAGTTTAAACTTGGACGAATTTGCCAATGGACTGCTATTTCGGGTTTAAAGTGTTCGGGATCGTGAACTTGAGCCTAAAAATATACAAATTTCAATCGAATTGAATCACCAGAATACTGGATTGTCAGCCTGGTCAGCACGTTTTCTACCTACTCTTTCTTTATGGGCATTGCAACAATTATTACAACGTACAATTAGCGTACCAAGAATTTGGCAAAACAGAATTTGAATGGTTTATTTGCTTTATTACAATTGAATGAAGTCTGGTTTAGATAAGGGCGGTACTAAATGGAAAGATAAGGCGGAAACAGAAAAAAATCCATATCAATTACGAACAATGAACAATAGGTAGTAGGGACTGATTGAATTCGTTAGAAACTCAAATGCTAATGGTACTGTTACCTTAATTAGTCGAGTGGAAAATTGACAAAAAATTAATTTTTGAACTTGTATTAAATCTGAACAGATTAATTAATCGCAAATTGGTTGCAGATAAATCACGTCAACGCCATGACGAACAGCATCGAAGAAATGAAGGACAACACAATTTATAAAGAAGTCGTGATAGTGGGTAGGTACGCATTGATGCAGTAACAATCAAGGGCGGATCCAGGGAGGGGGGTCATGGGGGTCATGACCCCCCCCCATTCAATTTTCTATCCAACGATGCGAAAACGAATTCTGTGGCTCGAATGGTTCTTGGGAAACTAAAAAAAGCAGCGTCATGTTCAAGTGGATTTTGCAACTCAAAAAAAGAACCACGCAAATCTAAAACTTCTTGAATTCAAGCCTTTTTTGAGAAAACTGCCAACATTTCCCCATCCATGGTTCACTTTCTAAATAGGCCATTTATTTCTGTCTAGAATGATGTACACATGAGCGTTCTTGCTCATTTTGCCTCCGAGATATGAGCAAAAACGGGCCGGAAAACTTGAAATTTTAGCATAATTTTGAACCTGTCTTTGATATTCAAATTTCGCTTTCTGGGCCAAAACTACTAGAATTTCCTCACTCACGTTGTTACGACTGAATCGAGTTTTCAATTCTCTATCCAACGATGCCAAAACGAATTCTGTGGCTCGAATGGTTCTTGAG